TTGTGCAAAAATTGCATTTGTCCTACATGTATAGATAGATGACGCACAGAAGGGAAATGGTTAATTTTCTTGTACATTGTTTAACATCGCGTGTCATTAATTTACCTAGAGGACCTCATCTTACAAGGCAGCTGTAAGAATTAGCATAGAGGAAACAACTCTTCAGAAATCTACCCTTCCTTGTCTACATGAATTGCTCAAATTTCTTGGAAAGACTTGGTACCAGTGTCTCATTCACCACTCCATTTCCCACCCAGGTCCCAGAGTACAGTGCCCTGCACCATTTCAGCTTTTTGTTTTGGAACAGATAAAGACATTTGGTATCTTTGGACTGTAGTTTCTTTCTTAATGAGGAATTATAGGAGTTTCATGTTTCAGAGGGTCATCTGAGCAAATGAAAGTGTGTACTGCCAACAGTCGTGTACCCTCTGGGGCCCATCCTGGTCTATCAGAACAGGATTTGTTCCTCACTACATCTTTCTCCTTCCCCTTCACCCTGTGTATAAATTCAGAAATGGACTTTGGCTTCTCTGTGGCTTTTTTCCTCTGAAGACTATCTCAGAGGAGGGACTTAGACTTAACTGCTTTGTCTTATAATCAAGACAAAATTTAGGAATTGTTGCAAATTAAAACAATTTTGTAGCCACTATTATAGAGAAATATAAAATTATATCCTAATTGCACATTCTAAATTAAATTAAAACATATTCCATGTCCAAACTTAGCCTTATTATCACTTAGTAAGTATACTTAGTAAGTAGGCCAGGTACAGTGGCTCATGCCTGTAATCCCAGCACTTTGGCAGGCCAAGGCAGGCACATTGCTTGAGCCCAGGAGTTAGAGACCAGCCTGGGAACATAGTGAAATGCTGTCATATATATACACACACACACACACACACACACACACACACACATATATATATGTATATGTATATGTGTGTGTATGTATGTGTATATATATATATGTGTGTGTGTGTATATATGTGTGTATATATATACACCACACACACGCATACAAAAATTAGCTGGGCATGGTGGCACATGCCTATAGTCCCAGCTACTCAGTAGGCTGAGGCAGGCAGATCCATTGAGTCCAGGAGGTCGAGGCTGCAGTGAACTGTGATTGCATCACTGCACTCCAGCCTGGGCGACAGAGTGAGACTTTGTCTCAAACAAACAAAATATACTAAGTGTTATTATTACTGCTCCATTTTCAAGACAGTTTGATAATAGTATTTTATTGGAAATACCCAAATCCCAGGTCAGCATCTACTCTCTTTTTTTCATCTACAAATGAGATGATAACAAACATAACTTGAAGATATCCATATAAAACCTTAACATGCATATGCCCTTTGAAACCACACATATTTATAGAATTTTACCTTCTACAAATAATTAGAGACATAAGCTCCATAATGGTAGGGAATTTTCTTCTTGGTTCACTCACTGCAGTATCCCCTTAGCTTGTTTGGCACAAATAAATTTTTGTTGAATGAAGTTTTTAAATGTATGTCCAAAACAACAATAACAAGGTTTAAGAGCAACCTAAAGATGAATAATAAAGGATGAATAAATGATGATACCCCAAATGAGAGATTATAAAACCATTTAGAAGAACATTTAAGGATATAAAAAAAATTTACTGTATAAATGAGAAAAGTAGTATACAGCATTGCATATGTAGTATCATTAATTTTTTTAAAAAAATACATATTTTAAGTACATATATGCATTTTTAAAACTTGAAAATAAAGAAAAATATTATTCAAATTAGGGTAAGATTACAGTTGATTTTTATTTTCTTCTTTACACAGCTCCAAAATATCTACAGTTTTTATGTATTTTGTAATTAGAAAAACAAGTATTGTTTTTAAAGTTGCCTTTTATAAATGTGCAGACTCTGACTAGCCAAGTGGAATATTGTTGTTGTTTTTTTCTTCCTGAAAATATTACTAAAACCTTATTTTACCATTGAATCATTTTGTTTTTAAATTATGCTGTTAAGAAAACCAACACAGTTGCTAGAGTGGCATTTGTTCTTGACTTCTCAGGTTAAGGCAACAAGAACAAAAACAATACCAGGATTCCAGAGAGATTGCAAGTGGAAAAAAGGATGGCCCACATGGCAGTGTATTGGAAGAAGGCTTGGGTGATTATTTGACTCGCCTAATAGAGGAAAGGGATACTTTGATGAGAACGGGTGTGTATAATCACGACGATCGAATAATAAGTGAACTCAACCGACAGATCAGAGAGATTTTGGCAAAAAACAATGCCAGTAATTAATAACATTTGGGAAAGCTTTATAGAGACTCTAAGTCTAAATTTTAATTTCATTGTAAAACCCTCAAAAGTGAGGAAAATGGATGTTTTAAAATGCTATTTTCAATTTTTATAAGCAAAATTTTGTATGTTATTGTATAGTATTTATTTGATCTTATTTACTTTATGCTACCTCTCCCATACTGGTTTTATTTGTAATTTGTATTTTATATACCCATTTTAAATGACTTTTCAGTGTTTTTCATAGTTTATAATCTGATGGCTAACTTTCAAAACAGCTTTTCACTAAGTTTGTTGTAGGAGAAATTACTACAGTAATTTCCAGTTCTACAATGTTTCATATTGAGCCAAAAAATTATATCTTGCACTTTAAAAATGCTGCGTCCTATTCCATTTGAATGTAAATGTCTTTAAAGTTGAGACCAGTTGTAACCAGTTTAACACATTTTGGATGACCTCTTTTCCTTAACTTACAGTATTTGCAAGTGATATGTTTCAAAAGAAAGATCAGTACAGACAAGCCATATGACATATTGGGTGACAAATTGGTCATTTATTTAAATAAAGTTAATGCAGATTAAATTTGTTTCAAGAGCTATTGGATTTTCAAATTTCCAGTGTACTCATAATTTTTAAGAACATGAAGTGCTAGCTTAATATAGTTTTCTCTGTCGGTTTCTTGCTCAAGTTTGCATTGTTTTCTTTTGTTAAAATTAGAGATTTATTTGCCAGTTATGCTAATACTAGCTGTAGCTTAAACCCTCTGTAATAGAACATGGAAACAGACACATAAAGACATTAGCTGAAAAAATAGAGTGAAAATCAACCATTTTTTACTCCCCCTAATTTCAGTCTTTTTCAAAAGTGCACGAGATTCAGTCATTGGATTTATGCAGTGCCATGTCTGTATAAACTCTAAGAGTTCTTTTATATCATATTCTTCAGAGCCAACATTTCTCCTCAAAGCAATGCTCTCTAGCCCCTTTTACAGAATACTCGAAAAGTTTTAGCAAATTCACAGATTAGGTTGAATTTCAAAATATATGTAGTTTAAAAAGTTCTGATTTCCAAATATAATAAATTTATGTATATACTTTAGGAAGTTACCAATAGCTTCCATCAAAGCAGAATAGGGTATATGGTAACATTAATTTCTTGTCATTTTAAATGAGATATATTTCTTTTTATGGAAATTAAAGTCCCTATATTTATTATATATATTTTTTCTTATTAACAAAGTATTAATCTTCTAAAAAATAACAGCAGTAAATAATAAATTACGGAATGAGAGGATAATGAATCTGTGAATCATAGCAGGAATTTGCAATATTAATTATGATTAGCTATTTTTCTCTCACTGATTTTTGTGCCACTTGAATGGAACAGAAGTATGCCTTTTGTTTTGGAAGGTCTGGGGTAAAATGCTATTTTTTACCTCAGATTATTATTTTTTTGACTATTTACCTTCAATTGCATTGTGTGTTGCTTGTGACTGTTTTCAAACACTAGAGGGGGCCTCTGATTTAAAGAAACAAAAAGGACTTTTCTAAAATGGATGTGTAGTTTATTTTGCCTTCTGTAAAGCTCTTTTGGCTATTGTAATTTAACAAATAAAATCATAATTGCGTGCATCTCTGAGTTCTTGAGCAACCTGTTACTTTTGTTTCTAAACAGAGCGGGCAAAGTGTTTGAGTTTTCCTATTGCAGAAGACCTTTTTTTTCCTCAAGTGTTCACATACTATTTTTTTCTTACAATTAGGGGAGTCTGAAATCTTAACACTCTTCTGCAGTCCTTTTAGCAATACCCATTCCATTTGTAAATGCCATAGAATGTATTTACAGTGATTTTGCCTAGGACTTAATGAGTATGACCACATGACTAAATCAGTGAGTGGGTTGCAGGCATGGCTGGGTGAATACGTTTCCTAATAACAGGAGACCTTGTATCAAATATTTTAAGGTGAAATAAGATTAACCTTTAAAATTTCTCTGATTTTTCATGGAGAAAGTCTAGTTTCCATGTTTAAGGCAGGCATGTACTGCATAGGAGGGGTGTCTAATGTCTACCAGGTATGTCTAATACCATGTCTGTATAAATATAGGAGTTCCCTTGCAGATAAATCCTAGTAATTTCTATCTGGACCTGAATTCCTGTTGCTTCAAGCAGATGTGTGAGTAGTAATTTAAGGACGTATTAGGGGCTTTGCTGATGGGGAGACAGTCTCATCTGACCAGATGATTTTCTCCTCTACTTCTTATCCAGATGCTGCCCAGCCTGAATCTGGGTTCACAGATTGCCCCAGTATATATTGCTTGTTTGCAGCCACTTCAGAATGGACTAACCTGTTTTTTATAGTTTATAAGAAGGGCCCTCTGGTAGCTACATATGAACTTAAAAGATATGTTCTCAGTACCATTGTATCTAGCTTGATGGAATACCTAATTTTTTAATTTTTAAAATTGACCATTCTTCTGCCTCAGCCTCCCAAGTAGCTGGGACTACAGGTGTGCACCACCACACCCGGCTAAATTTTGAATTTTTAGTAGAGACAAGGTTTCGCTATATTGGCCAGGCTGGTTTCAAACTCCTGACCTCGTGATCTACCCACCTTGGCCTCCCAAAGTGCTGAGATTACAGGCGTGAGCCACTGCACCTGGCCACAACGACTAATCTTTCTGTCTCTGGATTTGCGTATTTTGGATTCATATAAATGGAATCCCAAATTGGATATTTAAAATAGAAAATATTAGAAAACCTAAGGGATTTTTTTTCTATTACTGGTTTCTATAAGATGTTTTATCAGATGTTGAATGAAATGATACAAAGATCCAGAAGGCCGACATAAGGGCATAAGATTCATGAACCATTGAGAATAGAGTTCAACTTCTCTTGTATCCATCCCCTGTAAAGCACTGACTAAAAATAATAGTGAAAAGTAGATAATGCTCTAACAATTCTGGTACTGAAAATGGGTAACTGACAAAGCTTGTGTCGTATCATCGGTATCTCATCAAAATTGCAAACTTTTCTATGGTTTACAGGGTTTGGGGATAAAGTGAAGCAGTGTCAACCAGAATGTGAGGTCTGTGAGGGCATCAACCAGGTCTATCTTAGTTTCTTCTAGAACTAAAAGAGTGCCGGCCATATGTAGGCACTCTGATAATATTTGCTAAATTCATAAAAAAATAAAAGATTATATATGGTCTGTGAAAATAGATGTAAACAATTTTGATGGCTGAAGTGCAGAGGAAAACACACCCCCGTGGCCTCACTGACAGGTTTATGAACCTGTGGTCTGGCTGCCCAGGCCCTATAGAAGTGGAGGAGTTCTGTTTGTTGGATTTTTACTTAAAAAAAAAAAAAAGTTTGCTTTAAATTCAAAACTATCGTGGGGGAAGGAGGAACAGGAAATTACTGTTCAATAGATCCAGAGTTGCTGTTTGGGATGGTGAAAAAGCTCTGGATTATGAATAATGGAAATAATTGCACAGCACTGTGAATAATTCTACTGAATTGTACACTTAAAAATAATTAAGATGACCAGGTGCAGTGGCTCATGCCTGTAATCCCAGCACTTTGGGAGGCTGAGGGAGGCGGATCACAAGGTCAGGAGATCGAGACCATCTGGATAACAGTGAAAAACCATCTCAACTAAAAATACAAAGAATTAGCAGAGCGTGGTGGCACGCATCTGTAGTCCCAGCTACTCAGGAGGCTGTGGCAGGAGGATCGCTTGAACCTGGGAGGTGGAGATTGCAGTGAGCCAAGATCATGCCATTGCACTCCAGCCTGGGCAACGGAGGGAGACTCCATCTCAATCAATTAATCAATCAAAATAATTAAGATGGTACATTTTATGTTCTATATATTTTACTACAGTTTTTTAAAAATTTGCTTCAACTTCTGCCTCAAATCTCCCTACCCAGTGTTCTCATGCTGAAAGTTTTCTGCACAAGAGTCATTTGTCATTTCTGAAGATAACATCTTGTCATTCCTCGATTGTAGAAATGGATCAAAGATGCTTCATTAAATGTTTATAGCAGCTTTAACAAAATCTGAAATGAGTGAAAACTAATGGCTACATTTAAATCCTGAGTTCCAAAGGTAAATTGTAGCTCCTTGAAACTTAGAATTGTATTGCCTTCATGTTTTATAAAATTATGTCTTGTTATCCTTAATGACAATTTAAAATAAAATTGGTTTTTTACCTTTGGCAAATAGTCCAGACTATTGATCTAAATTGGAGACAGAATTAAAAAAAATACACACACACACAAAACAGATTACTAGTACCCTAAATTAGGCTTAGTATATTTTTTGGTGGTAGGTAAGTCTTACTGTTGGCTAGTGGTCTTATTAACCAATAAAGTGGTTTGTGTAAGAGTGTTAAAGTCTGGCCAAGTCATTTTAAATTATGACCTGAAAATGTAAATCCATCTTTGACGTTTGTGTTTTGGCAACTATATTAACAGCATATCCCTGGGAGCCTAGATGTTTCACTGTACACTTTTTCTGCCGCTTGCTGTAGTGTACAGTCATGCTGCTTCCTAGCCAGTGTGCCCTCTGCTTCCAGGACTTGGGAGACACATAATCCATCCATATTGGCATAAATGGGGAAATATAGACAGAATTGCTTAAGTACCTAAATGTTCTACTGAAACCAAAAGAACTAGATCACTAGATTTTGTTATATAACCTCTGGCATCAAATTACAATCTGCTATTGTTAGGAATGTAACTGTAGAAAGGCTGCTATATACTTAATTCTCATTTTATTTGCTTCTCTGGGGGTTGTCTTAGTGTTTTCATTTGAGATGTTTTTACAGATGTAGGCTCTTCAGATACGAAGTTGCTGAAGTGAAGACTCAGAAGTTTAGCTTTCAAATGGAAGGGGGGTGGAAATCTGTTTAGGAAGATTAATTTTTAGATAAATAATTTACTGACTCTGATATGTACAACAATCTCTGGAGGCTTTTAAAGATGTTATTATATTCTTAAGGTTTCTAAGAATGTTAAACCTGTCATTCATAATAGGAGAGAACTAAAATAGAGTCCATTTATACTTTCTTCTTGGAAACATTTCACTCACATATTCGTAGACAAATTTCTTTTCCAAACAACTTATTTAATAGTTGGACGGCATAGCTCTTTTCTTGATTAACATGTTAGCTAGTCAAAAGCATGCAGATGCACTGGATGAGTGCAGAATTTTTCCCAATAGTTTAGATTAAAATTTGGCTAGAGCAAATAAAACTTTACTATAAAATCTTACTTTGACATAATTATAAATTTTAGTGAATTTTAGCCCAGTAGTGAGAGTCTATGCCTAGGAAGCTGCAGTATATTGCTCAATTCTTCCACAAGTTCTCATATTAGTGAATAGACTGAGCATTAACCTCAATTTAAAACATTATTTAAAACATCATTAATGCACTAGTTTCATTTCTATGACTAATTTGCAAAGAAAGATTTAGTTACTAAAATTTCAATCTGTTTTCTTGAAATTTGGAATCTCAAGACTATTATCGCATTACTTCAGTTCATATTATGAGCAAAATGTGAGGCCCTGAAAATGGTAAGTCAAGAATCTGAAGTATTAATATTTAGCATACATCTTTAGTCATTCTGTTTAGATCAGAGAAGACAGTATAGCAGACTGGTTTGACGTATTCACTTGATTGTTGCCTTGCAGAAGGAGATTTCAATTCCTGTTGTAGCTTCATTGTTAGCAGATGAGATTAATGGTCTTCTCTTGGATTCTGGCAGAAGTTTATTTAGGTAACTAACTGAAATTTGTAAAATTTGCACAAAGAAAATAAAAGTATCAAATAGGAAATAGATGTGTAAATAGTTTTCAGAAGTAATTTAGCCCACATATTTTTTTTTTCTGATAAAAATTGCATTTGCAAGTTCACATTTAGCCTACCTTCTTTTCCTCTATTATCATCCTCATTTTTTTTCTCTTCTATCTCCCTATCAGTGTACAAGTATTTACCAGGAACAATGACACCCCAAATTCCTCTTAAAAAGATTATTTGGGAAACTCAGAGCAAGAGAGGCTGAGAAAGAGAGACAGAGAGACAAATAGACATAAAGAAGGAGAAAGAAACAAAGAAGAGAGACAAAACTTGCAGCCCAAATTTCGTCTTGTCTATGTTTTCTTTTTCTTTCTAAAGTCTATAAAATTGTCATATGGTTCCACTGTTTTTACTATTATTCTTTGTGTCATATTATCACTTGAACCTCAGTGTCATTATCAAATCTACCTGAGTATGTCTGTGATCCCAGCAGTGCAAATATGAAGAGATGAAATTGTCAACCTAGTATGTTTTGGCATGTCTCCAGAATTTAAAATTTGCTCTATCTGTGCAGTAGATATTTTAATGCTACCCTCAGTGTATATACACATTTGACATAATTTCCAGTGATGTGCCCTTCTACTAAATAAAAGAGAATAATCTTCTTATTTTACTAAAATCAAATAAATTCAGAAATTCATGCATTCAACCAAAAGGTATATATTTAGCAACTATATGGAAGCTATTTATTTAGTATATAATTTTACATAATTGTGTATAAAGTATTACTATTGTTCTTCCCATTATGGTATCTTAGAAAGAGATTTACACGTTTCTTTGTTACTAATAAATAATGAAAGTGTCAGTGGGCCTCCTGCCTTCATGTAATCAATAGCAAACAATGAGTAAAACAATAAAACATAGATAGACAGATTTCTTCCCCTCCTTTATCTACACTCACTTCTCTACCTTTCCAATGATAGCTTCAGTTTCTATGATGCACAGTACACAAAACAGTTTCTAATCACAGCATTATTATAACACATGTTAATCATTTTATGTCAAAAGAGACTTTTTCTCAGATTAAGAGTAGATACTAAATTCGATACTACAAGTATTATCAAACCTATTTGACCCAGAGCAGCAATTTATTATAAATTAGATTATCTGCTAGTCATAAGGGAACTTCAGAGGTAAGCCTAAGATGAGACTAAAACACCCCAGTCTATTTATAGGCCTGTGCTCAAAGAAAGTTGGCTAGCAAAGGACAGGGGAGTGAGTATATGCAAACTCAGTTGGATTCTAAGCTAGTCTTAAAATCCACAGGGTCCGGTGAACTCTCTAGAACATAACACTTTTGACATTTTGAGTGCAAATGATGCTGTGGTCTGAATGCTTGTGTCCCCCAAAGTTCATATGTTGAAAACTAATTACCAATGTAATGGTATTAGGAGGTGGGGCCTTTGGGTGTGATTAGATCATAAAGGGGGGGGCCCTCATAAATGGTATTTGTGACCTTATAAAAGAGGACCCAGAAAGCTGCCTTCATTCTTCTCCCACCTGATGACACAGCTATCAAGGACCATCTATGCATCAGACAGAGGACATTGACCAGATACCAGGTCTGTCAGCACCTTGATCTTGAATTTCTTAGCCTCTAGAACTATAAGAAATAAATTTCTGTTACTTATAAGCTACTCAACCTTTTGTATTTTGTTATAACAGGCCAAACAGACTAAGACAAGTGATATTAATGGTCAGTGAGAAAAAGCATTTGACAAAATCCAATATCCATTCCTGATTTAAAACAAAAACTCCCCAGCAAACTTAGAGGAACTTTCTCAACCTGACAAAGGACATCTATGAAAAACCTACAGCTAATGTCCCACTTAATGGCGAAAGGAAGATGCTTTCCTTCAAAGATCACAAACAGAAACAAGAACATCTGCTCTATTCAATAGTGTATTGGAAGTTCATAATCATTCAAATAAGGGAGAAAAAGAAACTGAAGGCATCTAGATTGTAAAGATAGGCACAAAACTATCGTTCACAGATGACATGATTGGCTATCTCAAAATATCCAATGGAATCCACAAAAAGTTTCTAGAACTAATAAGTAGACTTAGCAAGGTTGAAGAATACAAGCTCAATATGTATAATAACCAAAAATAATTCATATTTCTATATATCAGTCACACACAGTACCAATACCATAGACATATGCAATATTTAGGAATATAACAAAAATATGAAAGATCTATACATTGAAAACTATAAAACACTGTTGAGAGAAATTAAAGAAAACCAAAGTAACTAGAGAGACATTCCATGTTCATATGTCAAAAGAGTCAGAGCTATTAAGGTGTCATTTTGTAATCCCTACCAAAAATCCCAGCATACTTTTTTGTAAAAATTGAGAAACTGATTCTGAAATTTGTATTGAAACACAAAGCACCTGAAGTAGCTGTATAAATCTTGAAATCAGATCGTGTTACTCTTCACACTTTGTTTTTCTTTTCTTTCAAAAAGAAAAAGTGGGAAGGCTAATACTACCTGATTTCAAGATT